CCCATGACTGGACCACCCCAAACAAAAAAGATAATGAACACTTAAAATATGTCCATTTGTTGGCTGAAGTCAGAGATATCATAGATACTTTAGCTGGTTGTCAGCAATAGAGATGAAGTTACTAGTAGAAGCCATAATGAATAAGGATTAGGAATTAGGGGAATGTCTAGAGTTTAGGGAAAGGATACTTACTAGAAATTGTCAGTACCTATGACATTACCTCATCTACTCCTCTTACTCCATGGTGACATAAAAAAAAAATCCCTGGATATCTGGTGAGTTTGCCTTAAATAGTGTAACCCCACTCCTACAACTTTCTCTGTCGATGGTGTTGGTGTGTATGAGGCTTCACTGATTGACAAATAGTATGCACATATAGTGTTGACAGGAATTAGATGCTCAGGAATGTGTCCAAATGTGTCCAAATGTGACCAAAATCTAATGCTTGGCCCAGAGGTAAACAAAAATTTCTGTTGGAGAAAAGTATGGATGAAATACAAGTCATGGTTTTTCTGAAATGGCTCCAGGATTGAATTGAATGTGTGTGTGTGTGTGTGTGTGTGTGTGTGTGTGTGTAGTTTATATATATAAATATCTTGCTTGCTTAAGGAGAACAATTCACCATTTTTTCTTCCCCTTGGTTCCCTAATTCAGATAAATGTATATACAATACATAGGATACAAAAATCAAATATAGTGACAATAGGGGATAAATCATAGGGCAGAAATCACAAAAGAAAAAACATCACATACATCATTAAATCACCTTGACAATATAATTAAAATTTATATATAAAGTTTTAAAACTCAAAATAATAAGATAACAAAATTTATTTAGGAAAAGAACTATTCAGCTAATGCCAATACTAAACTATTCAAAATATGTTATAATAAGAAGAAAGATCTTCCAAAATTATTCTGTGATGACAGCATTGTCCTGATGCCTAAACTCGAACAAGGTAACACCACAAAGAAATAAGAACAATAAATCAAACTATAGGGCAATGTCACTTAGATGAACAGTCACCAGCCACACTTGACAGAATATTAAAATTCACCATGATCAAGTGAGATGCTGTCCAAGGACACAAGGATGGCTCAGCACACAAACATCAGAAGTCACAATCTATGACGTTATCAGAATGCAGATCCTAACTATATGATCATTTTAATAGATGCAGAAAAGCATTTAACAAAGATCAACATCCCTCATGATAAAAACTCAGTTCAGGATAGGAGACAGGTGCCACTGCAGCCTTTAATGAGGCTTCTGATTGAGAGCAGCCACAGCTGAGAAAGGTTTTGGTCATTCTATGTCAAGAGAGTGGACAGCTATTGATGGGAAGAGAGGCCTATTCACTGCCAGGATGGGTATATGTGCCTTGCAGCATTGGTGTAAGAATAAACAAAGGGATTTAGATGCACTGTTTTGTGTATGTATGAGAACCTCGGCTTTATCTCAGGGCTTGGGTACTGTCCCCTGAGAATTTTTGTTTTTACTCCAGGGTCTACTATTTGAGCCACAGTTCCACTTCTGTCATGTTTTGTAGTTTATTGGCGATAAGAGTCATGAAAACCACAAACCATACAGTAAAAATCCTCTTGCTTGCCTCTCTTGGAGTTCACTGGTGGCTCATGTCTTTAATCCTAGCATTCAGAAGGCTGAGATCAGAGAATTTCTAGTTAAAGGAAGCCTGGCCAGAAAAGTCTATATTACATTTATTTTCTTCTTTCCGTTTTTCTTTGGTTGATTCACTGCTGTGGCTGTTTTTTATTTCTGTACCTTTTGTCTTATATGTTTATCTGATTTGGGGAGGGGTAGGAGATACACAGAAATGGAGAAAGAGTGAACCAATTCATCAGTGAAACAACAACAACAAAAGAGTCATGCAGCCTTTTCTGCTCAGACTGGCTTTTAACTGCAATCCTCTCATCTTAATCATGTAACTGTAACCCCTCTGTTCAGTATTTCTAGAATAAAAAACTTAGAAAAAATAGTGGAGAACTAACTTTGTATGCTCATGGTCTTCACACTGAATTATGAGATTAACACCATCTCTCACTTTCCAAGATGTTCAAGAAATCATTTAAAGAAGAGAAGATAGGTGTTTCATTGTTGTATCATTTAAGAATCGTTGTTCTAGAAACATCCATTTCTGTCTGATCATTTGCCTGAAAGAGGTTTTGGTTATATTATATAGTTGTCCAAATCTGTGAGAGAAGGATAATTTGTATTTCATTTCTAACATCTTATATTGTATTATTAATTTTTGTACCTATATAATGGAATGACATGTTTATTTTGCAAAGAATGGAAATTTTGATTTTATATTCTAAATAGAATCTCAAACATTTTTTGCATTTTGACTTTAAATTGTTAGGAAAGTTGGAGCAATAAGTGAATCTATCCTCCAATAAACTATTTTAAATGAAACAAATTTTCAATGGCTGAGTGATTAATTAATAACTCTGGTTTTAATTGATTTATATTCTCCGATAAAATTATGTTAGAGCTATGAGGCAGCTTCCAGGATCAAATGATCTAGGCAGAAAAATCTCTTGCAGATATACAACTACTTTTTCATAAGTATTGCTGGAATTTACTTCATTTGTTAACATCCAAAGATAACTCTCAGAAGGGAGACTATTCTCCATGTTGTTACAGTGTGCATATCATTGAGAAGCTCCTTGCAGTGATTCATTAAAAAATTAGTAAGCTCTCTGAAAAAAATGAAGCCTTAATATATCACCCATGATGCTAGTAGCCCTGGATTAATAAATGTCTTTTATACCCAGCAGTTCTGTAATTTGTATCTGAACTTTTAGAAATTTATTTTCATCTGCAAATGCTGTGTTACTAAAAATAGTTATGGCTGAAAAAACAATGATAACATAGGAGTAGCAATGGGTCAGAGGTACATAGTAAGGCACTCATTTGATGAAAGATTTGTTATTGATCTGTGATATGATGATTATGTGATATTGAGCAGCCATTGAAATAAATAGATCTGTTCTCCCTTTTCCTTAATGAGAATATAAATGCAAGAGATACGTCTTTTATGTGATTTCGCTTAAGTGAATAAAAGTTAAGGCTATTATTAGATAAAAGAAGAAAATATCTTGGGGTTCATTTCACTTAACATCATCTTATATAGTCATATGTACATGGCTTTTGAGCTTTTCAGATCATCCGATAAAATTACTCTATATTTATACTAATTATTGCAAATAAGGAAAACCATGGGACCTAAACTTCTTTGGGACTGGCTTACTTCTCTTAATATGATTTTTTTCCAAGTCTTTCCATTTTGTAACAAATGGGGTGGTATCATTCTTTCTGATGGAAGAATAGAATTCTACTATATATATATATATATATATATATATATACATATATATAAATATATATATATATATATATATCACATTTTCTTGATCCATTCATCTACTGAGGGGCACCTGGATTGACTCCATAGCTTAACTATGGTGAATAATGCTGCGATAAACATAGTTGTGTTGATAGTTTTAGTATGGCCTTGTTTGTACAAGAGGTCTGTCTTTATTGTTATTGTTTTAAATGTAACATGTTATTGTTTTGTGGTGCTTGTTTCCTTTGTATGTTCTTTCCACTATGGCATATACCCTTGTTGTCACTGTACTTCATTTTGGTACCCTGCATCATCATATATATATATATATATGAAATCTGGGGAGGGGAAGGGGAATAACAAATCTCTGAAACAAGGACACAGGATGACTCATTGTAACAAGGATACCCACCGGACAGCATATTGGAAATGAACTTTACAACTTTGGGTGGGGGGATGGGGTGGGGGAGAGGAGTGTGGGATTTGGGAGAGGGAAGAAATAGTGGGCCAATAATAAGAAGGGAAGGGGTAACAATAATAGACAAGTAATGTACTCAAAATGTAATCCCTCTGTACAGATTTTTACAATAAAAATTTTATTTTAAAAAAGAAGAAATTACCTTCACACAATAAAATCACATAGGACCCCCAACAGTTAATGTCCTACTGCTTGGGACAATGTTGCAGGGATTTGCCTCTAAGACCTGTAGGAAGAGGATGCCTACCTGCACCAATTCAAATCAATATGGCGAAGAAATCATAGGTAGAACAATTAGAGAAGAGAAAGAAATAAAAGACATCTGCATGGCAAAGGTTAAATTGCCCCTATCTGAGATGACATGATTTTGTTCATAAAGAAACCCTATTCAAAATAATTAGAGATATTAGATTTAGGAGAGTTACAGGAATAAGGTTAACATGGAAAAATTTGTAGCATTTCTCTGTAATAGTAAATTTTTGGAACAGAAATAGGCGAAATAAATGTCATTTACAATAGCAATATTACAAAACTCAGGAATAAATTTAACTTTATTGTTTAAACTAATAACCAAAAAATATGGGTAAAAGAAGTTAAAAATAAATTATAATATACTTATTTGCTGGAAGAATAAACATGATTAAATATGCATGCTGCTCCAAGTAGCATACCACATTTAAAACACCACATTAAAAATAATTACTGGCAAATGTGTAATGAATTGCGAGTAAGGTTTTCATGGACTAGTTTCTGAGGATGAGGATGACGATTTGAGATGACAAAGAAACAAAAGGCCTTTGTATTTCTTCTGCAGTACCTCACAATTGCTACCCAAGTTACCACTTGATTACCATCCATTCAACCCTATGGCCAAATTCTTCTTCTTGTGCTTTTTGTTTGTTTTTCTTGCATTGGTCCAGGGGATTGAACTCAAGGCTTGGGTGCTGTTCCTTAGATTATTTTTGTATTTTCACTCAATGCTAGCATTCTACCACTTGAGCCACAGCTCTGTTTTGTTTTTTTTTGTGTCTGTGTGGTGTGGCTAACTAGAGATAAGAGTCTCAGAGACTTTCTTACCTAGTGTGGTTTCAAATCTCAACATGCTAAGATTTCAGGTGTGAGACACCAGCTCCAGCTAGACCTTAAATTTTTGGTCATTTGAAAATCCATTTTTGTTCATAGAGCTTTTTTTTCTTTTCTTTTCTTTTTTAATAGCGCTTTGCAAGGGCATGGCATTCTTCACATCCTTGTTCCTGAAGCTATAGATTATCAGGTTAAACATAGGAAAGGTGACTGTAGAAAACAGTACAACCACCTTATCACTGTCTGGGCCATAGCTGGTGGTGGGGCGTAAGTACGTGAACAGCAGTGTTCCATAGAATAAAGTGACGGCTGTGAGGTAGGATGCACAGGTTGAGAAAGTTTTGCTCCGCCCTCCCGAGGACTTGATGCTCAAAACGGTTAAAAGGATGCGGAAATAAGAGACGAATATGACTAGAAAAGTGCTGATCTGGATTGTGCCACACAAAGCAAAGAGCAAAAGCTCATTGAGGTGGGTATCTGCACAGGCCAGAGCCAGGAGGGGAGGGATGTCACAGAAAAAATGATTGACCACGTTGGACCCACAAAAGGGAAGCCAAAACGTGAGGGAGACGTGCACCAGCGACGTGACACTTCCACAGAAATAGGCCAGCACAATGAGACCGAGGCAGACGCGCCTGGACACCAGCGTGCAGTACAGCAGGGGGCTGCAGATGGCCGCATAGCGGTCATAGGCCATTGCTGCCAAGATGAGGCACTCGGCCTCTGCAAAGCAAGCAAAGAAAAGCATCTGGGCCACACAGCCATAGAAAGAGATGCTCTTTCTGGAAGCCAAGAAGTTGGCCACCATTTTGGGGGTAATAGCTATGCAGCAACTGACGTCTAAGAAAGACAAGTTGCTAAGGAGGTAATACACAGGGGTTGGTAGACTTGAAACAGCATTAACTAGAATTATTAAGCCCATGTTTCCTACCACTGTCAATGAATAGACGATGAGAAATATGAAGAACAGTGTGATTCTGAGAGGGAGAGAATCCGTGAATCCAACAAAGATGTGGAATCGTTTTACTCTGACATCTTTGGAGTTTTCTTCTTTTCCTCATTGGAGGTAAATGGAAAGCCGGCAATCTGAATTGACTTGAGTGATGAGTGGACCACAATCTTTATTCTGCTTTTTAAGGAAGCAAATACACGGTTAAAAATGTCACAGGTCTGGAATTCCTTGTGATATGATTTTGTTTGGCTTTTTTCACTTAATGAAAACAATTAAAATTACCGTTTCAGAAAACAATGGTACTTAGGATATATTATTTCTTGATAGTTATGAATTTCATATGATGGGTGAAGATCAGGAGATCTCATCAGGAGATGAGATCTGATAGAATAAGTAAGGTGACCATGATCTATAGAGGTGAAATTCTATTTTTATAACCCTAAAGTGATGTTTCTCCTTCTAATTGATAATTGAAATAAAAGTTGGAAGATATGCTAACAGTTAAACTATATTCTCTGTATCCACAAAAGCATATTTGAACCAATTCAGCAGTGATACTGACTAGACACTATGTTTGCAATTAATGATACAATTTTGAGGAGGTGGGGTGAAGGGTAAAAACTGGGAGCAAATAAGGGAGGGGCGACACTGTTCAAAAAGAAATGTACTCAGTACCTGATTAATGCAACTCTAACCCCTCTATATACCACTTTTCAATCAAAATTTTAAAGTAGAATATATATGTTTATGAAAGTATTAACTTAATATAATACACAATAATCGGGTAAGAGATGTAGGGATTTAAAGAATCAGCTACTAAAAGCTTGTAACAGAGATTGATATATCCTTCTTAAAAAAACAAAAAAATACCCAAAGAATATTTTTAATTTTTGTCTATTGTGCCACTAATGGAGATTCTTCTTCTATAATATTTTGACTCCTGAAAGCACAAATAAGGAGATGGATTAAGCCTCAATATATTAGAGTACATTTCCATTTTTGGTTATGCAAATGTTTGTGTTTATGTGTATGTTCATGTGTGTGTGAGTGTGTGTTTGTGTGAGTCCTAAGGATTGAGCTCAGGGCCTGTGTGCTAGCCCTTACCTGTATCCACTAAGTCTAGTACTGGAACACATTAGACATGCCTTCACTTCTTGCTTTCTTTCCTATTGTTTGTTTTTTAGTGGTTAATTGAGGGTAAGAGTCCAGTGGACATTTCTGCCTGGGCTAGCTTGGAACTGTGATCCTCAGAACTCAGACTCCTGGATAGATATAATTTACAGGCATGAGTCACTAGCTCCCAGAAGTCCAGTACATTTTATAAAGGAATTCTTAGGGAATTGAGTATGCTTCACAGAAAGGATGACTTTGCCTTGTGGGAACTCAAATGGACACAAAATGCTGTTTCAAATGAGATAAAGATGTTTTATTTTTTCTTAGCATTGTCAAGAATTAGGGGATTTAAGTATATAAATAGTTATTGAAAAGGTGATGGATAGAGAGGTTACAATTAAGTAAGTCAAGTAATGACCACATTTCATTTTGGACAATGTCACCCCTTCCCTTGCTGTCTCTCAGTTTTCCCCTACCACTCTAACCCACACATATCATAGTTCATTTTCAACATAGTGTCTAGTGAGCAACACTTGTGTACTTCTTCACCTTTTTTCCTACCATTTCATTGCCTCCTTTACCCTCCCAAAGAAAGATAAACGAACAAACAAGACAAAAAGGAAAAAACAACAACAACAACAAAGGATTTTTGATATCTCTTGTAAAGCATGCCTGTAGGTAATTGGTTATTGTTTGGATTCATTAAATATTCCCGTGATACATTTTATCTTTTGACAACTTTTTGAATAACTATGTTAAAGTATAACAGAACCACAGTAAGTGACACATTCAAGTTTGTAATTTAATATTTGATTTATGTGTCTCTCTATATGTGTATATATAAATACCCACATATAGATACATACCATGATATATTAGATCAGTAGATTCATTATCAAAAGCATGATAATGAAGATGGCTCTCATACCAAGAGACTTCTTCAGAATCCTTCTCCCAAAACACATTTCCTCCACAAAATATTTAAAGTTATCTGTTCTACAGTCATGTGATATATTATATATAATATTAAAAATTGAATATTAACATTTCATTTACCTTGATGAATATTTCCTTTAAGTAATATATCTTCTGAGTTGTAACAGTCTTTTTTGAAAATCGTAGAAATTACAATGATCCTGGATTTCTGACATATTTTACTTTTACTTAAAATCAAGTCATACTTCCTTGGTTTTGTATTATGAGAAAGCCTAAGCAACTACTACATTTAAAAATATACCATCAGTATGTGTGAAAACAAAATAAATATCTACATATAAACTCCACAGACAAATTAAATAGTGAAAAAAGAATTTTAAATGTTAACAATTCAAGATCTTTTAAAATTATTCACAATTATTTGCATAATTATTCACAATTTTGAGAATATAATTTTTATTACCTGTATTTCAATTAAAAAATTAAACTAATTCAGAACTAAGTTTTTTTTTCTTTGCAAAACTGTCTGCTCTATTCATGTGCTCATAATTATTTGATTATTTCTTTTTTGGTGCTTAATTTTTTTTAGTTCTCTGTGCATTGAATATGCTTACCTTTTATCAGATGACTACCCTTCTGTAGGCTTTCCTTACATTGTGGTACTTGTTTCTTCTGCAGACATTTTGCAATTTGACGTAATTCCATTCACAAATCATTGCCCTTATCTCCTGAGCTATCATCTACAGGATTCCTCAGAGTGATTTTTTATGACTATACTGTGAAAATATTCATCTAGAAATTACACTACTACTTCCAAAGTTTTATGTCTTGCACTGAGGTCTTTGGCATCTTTTAAAAGAATTATTTATAAGTAGTTTACAAAAGGGTTCATTTTTAATTGATTTTTTAAAGTATATGTTATTATGAAGGTGATATACAGAGCGGTGGCAGTTACATAAGTAAGGTCATGAGTGAATTAATTTTTGAACAGTGTTACCCCCTCTCTCATTTTCATTGTAAATTTCATTTCCACACAGTGTCTAGTGAGTAGGTGATTGCTTACAGATGCTATTCAACCATTGCCAATTCAATTTTTTTTATCTACAAATTTCCAGTGTAATTGCTGATACATTTTGAGACATATGAACCAAAGTGAATATCTAGTGGGTCTCATTAACAGTAATATTCTGTGCATTTTTATGTTGAATTGAGTGTAAAAAGTAATTACTATGAAAAAGCATTATAAGCAAGGATGATCCCGAGTGAGAAGACCAATGAACACATGCCAAAGAAGCTAGATACCTGCAGAATGTTTTTTACTTACTAGTAATTAATCCCTTTGAATATTATACTTACTGATTTTTACATCAGGGAAAAGTGTTCAGTATTTGAATATTTTCTAGCTGTGTTATTTCTTTTTGATTCTCTAGAGCAGTGAAGCCCATTGTGGATATTTAATGAATTGAAACTTTTTTTCATTCTTTTATGTAAAATGATTTTCAGAAGTGACTTCATAAAAGAATTGTTTTCATTACGTATATTTGCTTACAAATACAATAAAAGACATCCTGGAGTGAATATTAGCATATTTAATGTTGTTACATAAGTAATATTCACTGCAATACTTGAAATATGCAAGGAGATGAAACATGTCTAATTATGTATAGAACTGACTTTAAAAAATTTAAAGCATATTTTAACCAAATCATTAAATTCATTTATTCCCTGAGGAAGACAGGAAGGAAGGAAGGAAGAAAGGAAGGAAGGAAGGAAGGAAGGAAGGAAGGAAGGAAGGAAGGAAGGAAGGAAGGAAGGAAGGAAGGAAGGAAGAAAATTGATTTCTTAAGACAGGGTGTGGTAACACCCTGTGGTGACACAATTATATTCCTAGCAATGGAGAGGAGACAAGAGAATTAGAAGGTCTAGGACAGGTTGGGCTTCAGAAGAAGATAGTGACTCCAAAATAAATTTAGTACCTAATATAATCTTCTAGGTTGGGAAAGATACAGATGTCAGAGTTGTCTAAAACCAGAAAATTCAAAAAAAAGGAGACAAATTCTCATCTCTTCATTTCTCTGTGTTGATAGGGAAAATCAACTAAATATGTACTATTATACTATATTTGCATTATGTTATATTATAGGCTTATTACTATTATTGTTGTTGTTGTTGTTATCATAGGTTTATATTCCAGAAAACAGACATACTTGTGATTGTTAAATGGCAATTGAATCTTTCATTATTTCAATAGGATTAGTATTAGGATTTGATGACCAATGTGAACACAGGTCTGGATTGGAGATGGTGATTTTGTGCAGTGACGGTAAATGTTACTACTAGAATCTGAATCCTTAAAACCCAAGGAAGAGGAGAGACTGTTGGAGAATGGTGTGGTTGGGGTTCAAGTCTCTGATGTCTTAGGCAGGTAAGAAATGATCTCTTGGATAAGTGACAGAAATTGTCTTCTTAAAGATTTTTCTAAAAGTTGAATGGCCCTTAGTATATAAAAGTGAAAATAGATTTAATTCTACAAGCAGAGGCTGAGATACTTTTTGGAAATACTTTATACAAGTTGAGGTACTTTGGGAAGTTGGGGACTTTGTTGCATACATGGATGTCCTAGAAGAATGTATATGAGTCATGCAGGAAAAGTCTAAATTTTAGAAGAAATATTAGCAAAATTACACATAGGACAAGGAAGAAAACATACTATATAGAGGGATTGCAAAATGCAGTATAAATAAGAAAAAAAAAGCCAGAAAAAAGACACATAATGATAGTAGGAGAGTTTGATTAAACCATGTTTATCTTTGAAAACACATTAGAAACATAAACATCCATTGGAAATTAAATTAATACACAAGAGAAGATGTTCCCCAGGGTACACAATAATATTCCTTCTTAAAAGCAATTGACATATAAAAGGACCAAAAAATATTATAGATTTAGTGGCATTACTTGAGAATAAGGAAAAGCCAATAAAGATCTAAAAACCCACGCCTCACATTGTTTCAATGCAAATCGATAAAGGTAAGCTGTAAACAAGATGTTCCACTGTTTTTGAAGGATTGCCTTCATTTGGAGGATCAAGATTCAAACTAATTAATCAGAAAAGCCTAAAATTAAGAGATCTTTATCTGAAATATACTCTCTTTTCTTTCTTCAATCACATGTATTTCTTAATTTACTAAATTATAAAATTAGACACTTTTCAAATAATAGGAATGGCATTCCTGAAACTCCTTCAGATAGCATTGGAAACAAGTACAAAATAAATATGAGAATATAGGCTACTTTTCTTAATTTACTAATTTTAAAGCTCTGCCTTGTGAAACACAATAGTATACAGATTAAACAATCTGAAAAGATTTGGAAAATGTTCAACAAGGGAAGTGAGAGTACAGCACTAAAACATGTATAGTGGAACCTGAAAAGAAGTGTTGACTTCTTCAAATTAGATTAAATTAAAATGAATGATTGATTAAGAAAACTTATTTTTGCCTTGTGTTTAAATCATATTCATGTGATCTGGCCATTGGCATGGAGGGGGTTAAGTCACAGTCCACTGGCTTTAGACAAACAAGAACTTTTACAAAACATCATTATGATATGGAAAATGTAAAAAGGGAATTACATTTTCTTGCCAGAGAATTGTATGACAAAGGAGGAATTGCCATTGACAAGAGGAAAGATATGAGTATAATAGTTATGGAGTAAGTCAGATTTCATGCTGAACTTAACTCATGTATAGTAGGTGTTAGTAGTATTAAAAAATCACTTTGAACGAAGTAGTATTCCAAGATTTTTTTTAATATTGTATAAGTAGAGATAGTTATAAATAAAGCAAAAGTAATGCAAGCATTTTTTTCTTCATTAAGAAATTATTTTCAGAATGACTCTTATCAGAGTACAAAGCTGGGACATAAACATAGTTTGAGTAAGAATTTAAAAAGGTTTTCCAGGGGAAATTCTTGATTTGAAAAAGTGAGAGCCAGATTCTAGTGGCTCTATAATTCCATAGTGGCCCCTAATTCTAGCTAGCTAGCGAGGCTGAGATCTGAAGATCATCATGATTTGGAGACAGCCTGGGCAAATAAATCCATGATATTCTTATTTTCAACTAGCCAGCAGAAAAACAAGATGGCATTCATAGCTCAAGTATTAGAGCTCCATCTGTGTTCAACAGTAATATACACTAGACACTGTGTTGGAAGTAAACTTTACAATTTAGGGGGAAGAAGATTGGGGAGTGGGGAGAAAAAGGTGGGAGAAAATGAGGGAGAGGGTAACACTGTTCAAAAAGAAATGTACTTGTTACTTTACTTGTGGAACTGTAACTGTATGATACATTTACAATAGAATTTAAATTTAAAACAAAGCAAACAACAACAAAAGCCCAGTGAAAATATGAGGCTCATTGTTCAAGCTCTAGTGTGAGCATAAAAAGTAAATTAATTTATCAAGGTAAAGAAGAAAAATTATGGACATGACTACAACAACAGAGGAACAAAAACAAGACAGGACAAAACAATAGATAAGATCTGTAACAGAATTCACTACTGAGGATAATGAAAAAAAACATGGTTTCTCCCTGTTAGGTTTTCCCTTGAAAGTTGGTAAATTTACAGAAAGTCCAATAAAAATCCTGAAATTTATTTTATTAATTCGTTTTAATGGCCAATATGTCGTTTCACTTATGAAATTTTAAATTTCAACTTGTCTAAGCTAAGTGAATGGAAACTGTTTAAAAACTCATAAAATACGCTAATATATCTAATGTCAGTGGGATAAAAGTTCAATTTATTTTAACACGTGGACGAATTCATCACCTTACACGTATTTTATTTGCAGATGGGGAGCAACCTAGAAGAGAAAACTCGAACACCACCACAGTGATAGAATTCATTCTCTTGGGGTTTTCCGATATGCCTCAGCTCCAGTGGGTTCTTTTTGGCATATTCTCATTCATCTATTTGACTATTCTAATGTGCAACGGCATAATAATACTAATAACCAGAATGGACCCTGTCCTTCAGACGCCCATGTACTTTTTCCTCAGCCATTTTTCCTTTTTGGAAATCTGTTATGTCACAGTCACTATCCCAAGAATGCTCAGGGACCTTTGTACCCAAAAAGGAACCATTTCTCATTTTGCCTGTGCTGCGCAAATGTGCTTTGTCCTTATGCTGGGAGGCATGGAGTTCCTCCTGCTGACAGTGATGGCCTATGACCGCTACGTGGCCATCTGCAACCCTCTGAACTATGTCCTGATCATGAACCACAAGGTTTGCGCCCAGCTGGTGGCTGCCTCCTGGATCAGTGTCATTCCAGTCGTGATCGGACAAACCTATCAGATTTTCTCTTTGCCCTTTTGTGGATCTAACAGGATCAACCATTTCTTCTGTGACATACCACCCGTGCTCAAGCTTGTCTGTGGTGATGCGTTCGTGAATAAGATGGCAATCCACGTGGCTGTGGTCGTCTTTATCGTGGCTCCTTTCCTGTTGATCATGGTCTCCTATGGCAAAATCATCTCCAACATTATGAGATTGACCTCAGCCAGAGGCAGGTCGAAGGCTTTCTCCACGTGCTCTTCTCATCTGATAGTGGTTGTCTTATTTTATGGAACAGCCAGCATCACTTATTTAGAGCCCAAACCAAATCAATATGAAGGGATGGGAAAACTGCTCTCTCTTTTCTACACC